ACGAGTATAGGTATTAGAGTAAATTTGTTAGGAAATAGATAAGGTGTACCATGAGCAAAAAAGGAGCACATTTTTTTTCAACGAATTATAGATGAGCTGTAAAAGCTGGCGATGCTTTTTGGATAGATCAAGGACTCTGTGCTAGGTCATTTCGACGCTCAGTGTCTGATTACATGAATGATTCTAGCTGAGCAGATGGAAACTCGATCAAAAGAAAAAATACTTTGTCCCATAGATGGCTCATTCTCGAGCCATCGAAACCTATTGAATGAACATGAAGAAGAAGATTCCAACATGGATACTTGAGATTCATTTTCTTCGAACATATAAACGAAATATGAAGTAATATTCTTCTGCAAATTTTCACCTTTTGAATTCATAGAAAGATAATAATTTGACGATTGTGTCTATGGTGTTAATATTTGTCAATTATTTAAAAAAAATTAAAAATAACATTTTTTATTAGAGAAAAAAAGAACTTTCCACGCGTCCAACGAAAGAAAAAGCTTTCCTTGTATTTCAGATGCAATATGTAGAGCTTATATGATTAATATGACATTTGATAATCAACTGATTAGTGTAATAAAGTATAAAAGCAGCACTTAAGAATTTTTCAAATGTTTAAGACGTGAAAATTCTTTGTGACTGTACCTTTTTTTAGAATGTTAACAGTTTCAATCTTCATTTCATGAATAGATGTTACATATTGTTTATCAAAATTAGGAAATTAAAGTGAAACATATGCCGAACATGACTAATTCTGCTAAGATCGTTGAATAAAAGGAAAAACATTGGAAAATCGCTTTTTCGGAGAAGTTTCATATAATCAAAACTAGACCTAGAGGTTGAAACTCCTATTGTACTATGTTGGCTTCTGTTGGAGCACTCAAAATTATTCTTCCAATATATTTATTTTGCTCGAATAGTCAAAATTTCGGCAAATTTTGAGTGATTGAAATGCGCTCGAGGAGTCGTTAGCATTCCTTCGATAGGTTTCCACTTCCTGAACACTCAATACTTTGATGAATGCTGAGAGCTCGAAACTGTTCTAGTAGTCGAAAATAATTATCTAATACGATACAACTTTTAACTGCTCTGAATCCGATGACTACAGAGGAACTTGAAAGCGAAACAGAACGAACAAAAAATATTAATCTCAAATTTTTGATGCTTGTTGCGCCCATCGTCTGCTATTGAGTCTGCTGGTAAATATTATAATTTTTCTTTTTTACTTATAGTATTAATTGGCTTTTTTTTCTTTGCAGCTTTTACATTTCTACTCATGCCTAAATAGACATATCTTTTGGCAAATCATTGCATTTTTTTCGTATAGTGACTGATGAGCTAATACATTTGGGAGATCGGCAAAACAAACGAGTGGCTGAATATGAATTAGTCTTTAAATCTTTAGTACTTATATCGAAATCTTTTATTCTGACGTAAACAACTTCGATACGTATGAAATCCTTGAATGTTATCGATAATGTTAGCCTTTTGTCTTTTCATTTAATGTTTGCAGCAAAATAGAATTGTCATTTTTTCAGTTATTTTGTTCACGTAAGTAGATATGACGAAGTAGCGAATCAACAATAATTAGATATCATTAATACGTTTCAATTATATATTTAATATTTCATAAGTTTTGGGTTCATTTTGACCTTGCTTTTGCATTTTTTAAATACATAAAATCGAACAGATATATAAGATATATGTTTAAGCGTACTATATAAGTTATCATTCAGGCTTGAGTGTACTCAAATAGTATCTTTATTAAAAGAGCACGTTATTAGTAGAATTATTCAAATAATTTACTATTGGATTTCTTTTTCACTCTCTTTCATTAGATTTTCATCTCAGCTATGTAAAAAAAAAGAACTGCATCTAAACCTATTTTCATATTAACTATAGACTTTATAAGAACAGAATGATGAGAATCACGCACAGTGAGTGCACGATTGATATTTTTCTCATTCTAATAAAAAAAAAACAGTAGAAAAGCTTGTTAACGCAGCCTCTTTGGAACTGGAATTTGGAATTCACATACGCTCTAGCCTCATTCGACTAATATAAAATATGTAAAGTGAAAAATCTCTCTTAGACTGTAGTTCTTTTGCAGGATAATGAATCACTAGAGTAATAACCTGCCTAATTTTTGCATTTCGAACAGAAATTTTTAACATTTTTTCTTCTGCGGGCGCCCTATTTTTGTTTGCATTGTTGCTAAAAGCTTTTTATTTTTTTAATGCGGTGCGAAGCACAGCATTTATGTAGTCCGTCGCGAGTTTTTAATGCGGTGCGAAGCACAGCATTTATGTAGTCCTTCGCGAGTTTACTTTTTTTTTAATGCGGTGCGAAGCACTGCATTTATGTAGTCGGGCGCGAGTTTTTTTTTTTTTTTTTCTTTCTTTTTTACTATACGTACGCATCAAACTTGTCATTTTTTGACGCAATGATCTCGAGAATGGAAACTCACAAAACACTCGTNCACTTGTAGTCTTTTGCCATTTTAACTATAACTTTTTTCCAGTAAAAGGTTTTTAAAAACTTCTTTCAGCACTATAAAGAGGACAGTTTGTTCTAGTTGCACTGCAAAAATCACCTTGTTACGACATACAATGATTGAGAGCGAATAAAAACAAAATCGATTTTCTAATTTTTGATCCGAATTACCCCTAACGAGTGTACTAGAAATAAGCAAAGGTCAAAGATTCATCCTTTGTTTTCAACTATATAATGAAAAAAAAAGGATTAAGAAATTCATTTTCTCAAAAGAGAAAAAGAAAATTGGTCAATATGTATGACAGAGATCGACTTGGATCGAGTTAGGTCGCGACATAAACATGTCAACTTGGGTTGGTTTAACGTGTATTTGACATATGTCGAATACTGAAAATCGTGAGTGTTATATTAAAGTATAAGAGTGATCCATGATAAAAGCAACTGGATTAGACTCACATAAATCAATTAACTTTTGTGAAATAAATACCACGTTTTGTGTACAGGAAGAAAGTTTCAAATTGGACTAAACTACTGATATATTATAGAAAAAGATGAGGTGAACAACTTTTGTTCTAGAATCAAGGCTCCAGTTTCAAACTGGGTAGCAGACGAATATGAAATTACATATGATAAGATTGTTCACATGCATTTTATCTAGATCCACTCTCGTTTGGGACACCATTTCCACATGCATCATATTTTAAGACTGCATCTTTTTAGAACATTTTTGAATGAAATTGACAGAGATTGTTTTGACTATATCTAAACAACAAAGCAACATATTCACTTAAAGCTTGTCTGAAATGATAGAGAAAAGTATAAGAAATGAATTCTCTAGCGAACATTCGGCTCAATTTTAAAATTTCTAAATAGATATGACATGATTTTGAACGTTGTTTGTTCTTGTATAGATTTACACTGGTATATTCCAATTGAATGCAACTTTTGCATTTGTGCTCTTATTGAAGACATTGCACTTATAAAAAATGTGATCAACAAACTTTATTCTACTACTCATAATTCGATCGTTTTACAACTCCTTTAGAAAATCTTTTCACCAATAGAAACACAAGATATATGTCTATTCAGACACAAAATTTCAGCTCATTTCTTCACTGTTTCATAGAGATATTGAAGACGGAATATGCGGATACAAAAACCTTGTTCTAATTTGGAACACATTTTATATTTCGTATCTGTTATCTATGCGACATAGCAGAATGATAAAAACAAAGAAGAGAAAAAGCGAATCATACTATAACACGTTTTGATTTTTATAGTCGCTTTTTGATTTAATTTGATGATTCTTATATGTATGAACAAACCTCATTATTTTACTTAGTGACTATGTCATTTATTCTAGTGACTACTTAAATGATAGACAGATAACATTTCTAAGAAACGTGCAAAATGGTATCGTGACAAGACTCCTCATACGATAGATAGATTCATGTCCAAAGGCTCTGGTAACATTTGTCTAAACTTTCACCTGCAATGTTCTTGTTCCTCATGTTGGCTTATTGTGGTAGCAACATCTTTAGCGCATTAAAACCACTAATACGAAGTTTCACAAATCTGTTTTAAGGTGAAATTTTTAGTAGATTTCTTTTGGTCAACTTTGTTTTCAGATGTGACAACAGTGCATACACTCATAGAAGAAAACTCGATTTTTATTAGGTTTTACTGATACATAGACCCATTATGAATCAAGTACTGCTGATGAATAATGTATTGTTTTATATCGTACAGTTGTACAATAGGTCCATTGATTTTAAAGTGTACGATAGTCATTGGAAGATAATTCTTGAAGGAAGGGATGCGAAAAAAAGTTCTCAACAATTTTCCTATCGCTTTGTCTTTGCAACTACTTGAGCAATTTGAACAAACAAATAATCATTTGTAAGAGCATCTCAAAGTGTTAAAAGTGTACCTATTCTCTAAAAATTGAAGATTTTAGCTAAAGAAGTAAGAGAGAGAGCCAATAAAGAAGGTTTGTTACATGTGCTTCTGGTATCCAAAGAACAATTCTTTAATGTTGAATACTGAGAATATAAAACAGATTGCTTTCATCTTATATATAAGTGTATGTTCTTTGTAAACTGGACGATTTCTTGTGCAAAGAAGCAGAATGAAGTGAGTATCAATATCTCACGGCCACTTCTCTCGTCAAGTTCGCCAAGGTGTGCGTAATTCAAAATTTAAGCAAATTTTTTTCTCGTTCATTTACTTACTTGTTGCTGATTTTTGCAGAATCGCCGATTAATCGCGATTTATTGTGACATCTGAAAAATCGCCAATGAATCGCGATTAATCGACGATTTTTGTGCTCAGATCGCGATTAATCGCCAAAAGTAACACGATTTTGACGATACGGGTTATCATTTGCATAAGAAGTTTGCTTTAATTCACATTTTTATTTCAAAATTTGATAAAGAAAAATAATAGTACACAAAATAAAAACTTAATTTAATGATAGAATCTATATTAACAGTTCTTTTTAATTAAGACATTCTATTTTTTGATATACATGTTGATGGCATTACCATCATTGCTTCTGGACATGCTTCAAACAATTTTTGACGAGTCGTACATCGCAACGGAAAGTGATGTACGCCTAACGGTCTTTCATAATATAGCGATTCGACTGCAAATGTTTTCGCTATATTTACTGGCGCAACTGATCCATTTACTCGACGTAAATTCTGTGAATACCAAACATCTTCTGGCATGTTATTATCATATGGATGAAGTGCAAGTAATGCAAGAATTTTACTACGACTTCGTAAGGAAAATCCACCATTGCCGACGAGATCTACTTTGCTCCATTGATACCAAGATGGATTCCATGGAGCACCAATATAATCATATTGAAGAAAATCGGTAATTTTATGCGGAGAATTCGAACACATAGCTGAATCGATTTGAAAAAAAAGGACTTTTTCACCATAAACATGTTGCCAAAATTTGGGATCTGTTAATAATTCATTTGTTCGATTTTTTCCATAAACTTGTTTCATTAAGGTAAGAAAGATTTTTCTTGATGCAATTAATGGTGCTAAAGTTGAATTTCTAATAAAAGCTTCATTATCTTTTCCATGAAATATTTGAATTGGCCATGTTAATGGAATATGATGATTAACATTATGAACAATAGTAACAAGATGATTAACTGCACGGAACTCAACAAGCACAGCAATGCAAGGATAAAAACTATTGAAAGAGTAATTAAATCCAGATGAATTATTTTTTCCACATTCACGATAAATTGAAAAAGAATAGTAGGCATTTACTATAAAAATGAGAGCCAACAAGTATATGATTAATTTCTTGATATTCAGTTGAAACAATATCATGTTGAGAATCAATACAGACACAATACTAATGTTTATTCATACATAAATGCATTTTTTAGGTCACGCTTGACTGAGTGTTGCTTATTTTGATGACAATGACAACGTAAATAGCTGATGATAGGGTAACTAGAAAGAAAATCTGATTGCGTTACAGTCGATTGCTGACTAGAAGAGCGGCTATGTGCCCATCAGAGAATCCAAGCATTGATGAAAATTCACTTTTTGAATTTGATGTTCTTATCTTAATCAGGATTATCTCAAAGAGATTTTCTATAATGGACGCTCAGATAAAACTACCACTTTTTATATACCTTCCTCTCCGTCCAGATCTGTCCGTTTTCATCGAGTCTCTTCTCCTATCTACTAGACCTCCAGGTCTAACAATGTTCATATTAGGAACTGCTCATTTATGGCCTAATCACTAGGAAGAAGAGGGAGGATCCACAAAAAGTAAAGAGTGTTGTCGGGAACAGGAAACAATAGTCATGATGATGTCATCAATAGTTATAAGAAATTATTTCTTTCTTAGACAAAAAATACGCAACTAGTACCATTTTTTGTGTTATAAAGTATAAAACTTAAAGCGAATGACAATTTATAAAACAGAAGAATTTGTTCTGTTCTTTGCTAACGTTGTCGAATAAACAATCAAAGAAATCATGTAAATTTATTTTCTTGACTTTTCCTCTGTGCTTTTCTCATTAAATAAACCTATGACAACATATGCTCAAACTGTAAACATTTCTTAGTTATATACATCCAAATGAGCAGCTGTACAATTCATTTTTTCAGTGCTTATCTTAATTTGTACTAGGATTCGAGAAAAGAAGAAAGCGTATTAATGACGATTAGCGATTTATTCGTTGTTTGTATTTCTTTTCCTGAACTTACATTGCGCTTCAAAATGTCCAAAAAGCATGGAATCAAGTGAAAAAAGAGAGGGCTGGCAAAGATCCGAAAAATGTCCACATCACCTAAAGTCCGCTAATGAGCAGAAGGACTTTACTAGTCAAGCGAAAGAGCGTGAAATTTCGATATTACCTTCAATAAACCCATTTTTCAGTGGACATTTCTTCTTACTCTACAAGCTTTTAGTGAACTTTTCTATATTTATGCGCCACTTTTCCATAACTAGAAGGACTTTTCTATTTCCTACACATTATCATTCCAATTCATGGCGGGACTTTTCTATACTTCGACAGACTTTTCTCCTAATTCAACGGACCTTTAGTGAAATTTTCTATTTCAATGCGCCACTATTCTATAAATGGAAGGACTTTTCTGCTTCCAACATATTATTGTTTGTTCTGGTTACAGGACTTTTCTATATTTCGGGAGACCTTTCTTCTTACTCTACGGACTTTTAGTGAACTTTTCTATATTTAGATGCCACCTTTCTATAAATAGAAGGAATTTTCTGTTTTCAATAGATTATCATTCTTGTTTATAACGGAATTTTTCTATATTTCGGGGACTTTTCTCCTAATTCAACGGACTTTTCGTGAAGTTTTCCCTATTCACGCAACACATTGCTATAACTGGAAGGATTCTCGCGTTTCTAGTAGATCACTATTGCTTTTCTAACAGAAACCTTCTACATATACGCGGGTATTTCTTCTAACTCGACATGTTTTAAGTGAACTTTTCTATATCGTCAACTCCCTGCATTATTTTGCTGCGATTAGGGTTTCCTAAGAGTGAAATTAAATTTTGTTTTTTTGGGATCAATTAATTGAAGTTGAAATATGAATAGGAGTGGCACGTTTAGTTTACTTTTTTGTGAAAGTAAATACTTTACTTTCCTATAAAAAGTAAGTACTGTATTCACCTATAAAAATGTAAATACTGTATTTAGTTTTTTGATTACAGTGAAGTGAATAGAAAGTCTACAGCAAACGGAAACTAGATCTTAAGCTGGTGTCGATCATTTTCTTGGTTGTGCCTGAATTTGAATTCATAGTAGAACTGTGGTAGGTGGATGAGGATTTAATTGGGATTCCAGCTACGGGAGTAATACTTTATCTTTATTATATCAAGAAATATAGATACAGTGCTTATATTTATAAAACAAATATAACGAAAATCTTTTTGTTCACAGCGTAAAGACAAAGAAATTTTGTTATTTATCTTTAAAAAATAAAGATAAAAGAAATAATAAAGAAACTCTCTTTCTATAATAATCTAGTCTTGACGTGTATTAAATAGTTTCGAAAAAGGTTATGATACCATAAATAGAAATTAATTATACAGAAAAGTATTTTGCACATATTTTTTAAAATTATCTCGTATGCAGTAGTGCGAACATGATACGAAAAGACAGTGATTTACATATCCTGCTGTGAGATTATGTATATACCTATTTAACTATCATAGAAAAAACCGTTCTTTTTTCGTTCTTTTATTTTTATTTTCAAAATGATAAAGATTTATTTTCCTTATTGATATTTATTTTTTAAATATAAGGTATTTCTTTGTTCTTATTTTATAACGATAAAAATTGTATTTATATTTATACTTTGTCACAAAGAAAAATAAAAATAAATTATCACTTCTAATTCCAACTCGAAGTCTTATGGAATGAGGCCTTAATAGACAAAACAATATGATTGATTGACGGTACGCTTGCGTAAAAAGTAGTTAAATGATCGCTATATATTGGAAGCATCAGATTTTATCAAAGAAGTGCAAAGTCCAGTCATATATCAAAAGACTCACTCAATTCTTACAGCAAACATATATTGGTAGGGGACTATATACGTAAAAGCGAATGATAAAAAGTCATTGTATTTTATGACACTAAGTCCACCTGAGAGAATGATGATCACTTAAACTACTTTACTGGTAAATGCTGAATGCAGAATGCCGGTATTCACTTATAAAAAGTAAATACAGTATTTAGATATTACCTTTAAGGCGCACAAACTACATTTACCTATGCACTGGTAGAGTGAATGTACAGTCCAATTTCTAGATATGATCACTGCACTTCTAGTAACAAGTGAATAGTTCATACTACTGATGGATAGCTCAATCATCTATATGAATTGTAATCCATCACCAGCTTCTTTTAAATTTTCCACACATAAATCAGCTGTCAAATGAGAATATTACCTATTGTTTTTGTATTCGCTTCGATTCATTCGAATTCAGAAACAAAGCAACATTTACATCAATCTAATTACAAGATTTTCTGGGAATAACTATAGTACACTACTAGAGATCGAAATCAAAATAGAATTTTCACAAATTTTTTCTTTTATTATACTAGATTATTAGAAAACTCAAACAGTAGAAATAGCCCTGATGAATGATTAAAGCAAACATACATGCAGAAAAGAAATATCGTCTATTGTGCATGCTAACTTGGTATTTCACCACGGAACTATAGTGGGACTCCCAACACTGAGACGATAAAACCGTTACTAATTAATTATACTTTAATTAAGTTAAAGGAGAGTCTAAAGTAAACCAATTATAAATTTTCTAAATCCCTCGTTCTGCAACACTCTATTCTGACTATGGTAGAAATTCTATAAATTCGTTTAATAGAAAACCTCTGGCAGTCGTAATATTGTAGACACTTCGATTGGACTTTAACTCATACAGATTTCTCGTCTGTTCATTTCTAAGAATTCAATCATATAAAGAGAAAAATCACTTACACAATAGAAAAGTCTGCTGAAAGAAAGAAAGATCCTGTTTTCTACAATATATATGCCCCAGTTATTATATGAATTGAACTGAGTTTGGAAGGTCTAAGATGATGAAAAAGAAATGCATAGATATAGAACGAGACGCTCTAAAAAATATAGATTGAGAGGATATAAAGAAAGATTTTATGAAGAAAAATGAAAAACCAGATCAGAAACAGAATTCAAAATCATTTTTATAAGATAGCTCAATGCATCATGCAAGAAAATCATATTTTCACATTATAAATATTGGATTTTATATTTTTATGTTATTTCTTTCACGTTATTACTAACTTCAAATAATGAGTTTTTAATGCTTTTGTTGAACTTTTATAATTAATAAAAAAAAAAAAAAACAATTTTAATTTGTGGTCTCGAGCCTTAATAATATATGACAAATACTATATGCTTAATATCATTTGGGCCATATGTATAGTCATTTCCAATCTCTCTAATTATCGCATGTTCGAAAGCTATATGAATTGCCTTCTCCTAATGGTTTTTATAAAAATTTCATAATAAATAAACATTTTATTATTTTTTCTGTTTATTTTTCTTAGCATTAGAATTCGTTTTAAGAATATCATGCTTCTGGTTTCTATTACTGTCATAAATAAGATTATCCTATTTTATTGAGCATAATATCTATTTAAAAAACTCCGATCTTGTATCAATTGTAAATGCAGACAGTATGTAATTAGAATATATCACAGCTCAGTTTCCAACCACCCATTTAAATGAGAGAATGTAAAGTAAGCAAAAATATTTTTCTACTCAAGAGTCAATTTTATGTATTAAATTGTTTATGCAAAAAACGAGATTAAATACAATAGTCTTTTTATCAATATCTGCAAAAGACAAATGTAATATATTTGAAGACATTTTTGAGACTTAAACACTATTTAAAAAAATGAAAAAATGAATAGATATACATAGATACATGTTTATATAAAAAAATATTTTCTATCAAGTCTAGCTCGAAGAAAAACTTAAATCTTGCAATATTCAACTATTTGTTAACTGGTAAGATCTAAATAATGACTCAATATTACCATGTCCCTAAGAACAAAAAAAATGAGCATTTATATAATTCAAAAAGTTTTTTCTGATGAATAAAAACCGAAATTATAAATATAGTGTCCCAATGTCTTCGCATGCAAAAAAGTACGATACATAAAATCTGTACCTTATATATATGTCGGAGCATCCTAGTGAGTGCCGTAGAGGACGTCTTTGTTTAAACAGTTTTTTCGCTTCAATACTGAGATGTATTGTGATGTGAGCTTATAAATAATAGAAAATTACCTA